TGTTTGAAATCCAGTCGCCTCTCGTGAGGATTTCGCTCTGTTGAAGTTGTTCCACGAGCCGATTTGCCAGAATCTGGCAGACTGAGCATGTGCGGACACAGAAGTGGCTCAGCATTGTGTCTCCGCACATCTGTGGTTTTCTAATTCCGTGGTTTTCTTCTTTGTGGTTTTCTACTTCCAGAACAACAACTTTGACAACTCCGGTCGTTATGTGAACGTACAGTGTGAGCAGGCAAGTCGCATCCGAGCATCGGTTCGTTCAGTGTGAGAACATGATTCGTGAGCTGTGAACTTTTAAACCCTGTGATTTGGTTGTACAGTTTAAGCTGGGGCTGAGTCACACGACCGAAAATATCGCACAGTGTACGCCCGGCATTAGTCAGTAAAGTTTATTTATATGGTGCTTTTCACAGACATGGCTCACAAAGTGCTTCACATACAAAAGATAAGAACAGCAGAAGATACATTTAGAATCTACGGTGAGGAGAAAATTCAGTTTGTCGACTGGACAGAAGTTAGTTTGGTTGAAGACGTTTCTCAGCTCATCCAAGCTGCTTCTTCAGTTCCGGTCAGACGCTGGTGGACACTTCCTTATATCTGTCTGCAGGGAGGAGCTAACTACACTGAACTACACTGAAACTATGGCTACGTTCAGACTGCAGGGCTTAACTCTCAATTCAGAATTTTTTGTGAAATCCGATGTTTTTGCAAGGTCGTTCACATTTCCAATTAAATGTGACTTGTGTGTGATCTCCTGTGTGAACATTAAACGGCCCGAAAGTGTCCCACATGTGACACTGGAGACACGACGACGTCAACCGCAGCGAGCGTCTCCGTGTTTACAGAAGTTGTCCAAACATGGACACGAGCATCGAGCACCTGGAGATTTTAAAGTTCCTCTCGTACCGGAGCCAGAACATGAACAACTTACTTGTTTTAAGGAGGAGATTGAGAAGGAGAAGGACGAGGTTTTTGGTCGTGGTGTTTTGTGGTTCAGTCCGTTGAAAGGAACGTGTGGATGTGGAGACGGAGCCAAGAGTGGTGAGTGGTGATGTGCTTCAGTGACACGGAGTTCATTAACAATTTTCGCCTACTTCAGCGAAGAATAGTGACGTTTGTGTCTTGTTGATAAAGTGTAGGTGGATGAATGCACTTTGGCCGTTCAGACTGAAGTCGCATGTCAAAAGATCAGATATGTATCAGTTTCAGGAGCACATATCCAAGTGTCCTGGGTCACATTTGAAAAAATCGGATCTGTGTCGTTCAGACTGACATTAAAAGATCAGATACAGGAACATAGAAGCCAAAAATCGGATTTGGGTCACTTCAGGCTGCAGTCTGAACGCAGCCTTAGACTCCACACCCTGTACAGGTCAATAGGCCGAACTAACAAACAGAAACTGTAAACAAGTGTGTGTGTTAGTTTCAGAGTAGTTTCAGTGTAGTTAGCTCCTCCCTGCAGACAGATATAAGGAAGTGTCCACCAGCGTCTGACCAGAACTGAAGAAGCAGCTTGGATGAGCTGAGAAACATCTTCAACCAAATTAACTTTTGTCCTGGCGACAAATTAAATTTTCTCCTTGCCGTGGATTCTGCCTGGACGACTGAGGGATTCTTCACACATTCAAAAGTATGAAAAATCCCTCTTGGTTGAAGACGTTTCTCAGTTCCTCCAAGCTGCTTCTTCAGTTGTGGTCAGACGCTGGTGGACACTTCCTTATATCTGTCTGCAGGGAGGAACTAACTAACTACTCTGAAACTGAATATGGGATCTGGCCCCTGAATGGATTTATGCACCACACTCAGTGCAGTTCAACAGGCCAACATTCTGACCACAACTGAAGAAGCAGCCTGGATGAGCTGCGAAACATATTCGACCAAATAAACTTTTGTCCAGTCGACAAATTGAAATTCTTCTTTGCCATATCATGTCATAGCAGCACGAAACCTGAGCGGGCGGGGACACTTGTTCAAAGAGAAATGTTTTTAGTTGTTCAGATTTAAAAATTCTACCCACTTTCTTCACTTTCTTTCTCTCTGTCCCAGTGGAAGTTTTCTTAAAGCAGAGGTTCTCAAACTGTGGCTGAGGGTTCAAAAGAGCGGCGCAGAGTGTTTCAGTGCAGACCAGTTTAAGCAATGTTTTAACATGGCTTTGTAGTAAAACAATTTTAGGTCGATTCATTTTGACCTGGTCATTTTATAAGTAGCTCACATGCTGAAAAAGATTAAAGGCCCCCGGGCCGCATGTTTGACACCTGTGGTCTAGAGTTTCAGGGAGACGGCTTGAAAGGATCTGTCACCTCGCGTTGTAAATCTTGTCAGCGGGACCATTAGCAGGTTTTGGCTTGTAGACCTCAGGTTCCGGGCCGAGGTGAACGGCTTTATCAGGTCTGAGGTATCGACAGGAGTCTGGCCACGTAGGCTAAAGGTCAGCACCGGGGTCTTAAAGAGGACATGAAAAAAAAACAGGGAGTCAATGTAAGGATTTTAAGGTCAGAGTGATATGTGCTCTCCTCCTGGTGCGGGTCAGAACCTTGGGGCAGAGTTTTGGACTGTTTTGGACACAAATGACCATCTCTAACTTGACTTTAGAAATCATCGTGCAAAGTTTAGATGTGTTTCGCATTTGGAAAAAGCAGTTTTTCTAAAGACATCGCATCATCAAAAAATACTCCTAGATTTCTTAAGTTGTTTTTAGTTGAATTTCCCAGGGCCTGTTTGAGTAACACTTTATTATTAGTCTGTCTGTGTCCCCAAAGCTCAAAACGCTCTGTTCTGTGTTACCTCCTTTTACCTTCAGTTCAGTAGAGAATTATCCAAATGATTCCAGTGAAGATTTATTAAGGAGATAAACACACAAGGTCATCGCACAAGGTGACATCACAAGGTGGAACAGTGAATGTTTTCTGTTCAGAGAAGAACTCAGCCTAAATCTGCAGGTTTGTGGTTTAAACATATGAATGAAACAAAACACATCTCCAGGTCTGTTTGTGATGAGGAAACTACATTAGAACATCGATCACAAACCAAATATAGTCTCTTTAAAGGAGCTGTGTGGAAGATTTTGATTTTAAATTCCTCGTTCCTGCCGCCACCAGTAGGAAAACAGCACCAAAACCTGTTTAAATCAGCTGAACGACACGTCACAGAAACAACATGAAAACAAACTCTTGATCTGAAAAAGAACCTAAAACATAAATGATCAGAAGAACCTCGTTGGACTGAGTGCTCGGCTGTTTTATCTGCAGTGGCTCTGTGCTGAATCCGCCCTCTCACTGCTGTTTTTCTGTTTTGATGATGTTGTGTAAGCTCCATTGAATCTTTGATTTTATTTTGTTTATGACTTATGCTGATGTAATTCTCACCTGCTCCTGCGGCGGAGAGTCTCTCTCTCTCTCTCTGTCCTTGGTCGTCCTGCCGCACGAGGACATTCTCATGGCTCTGATCTATTTCTGAAATATAATTATGGACTTTGTTCTGTGGCCATGAGGGTCTCATGGGACGCCCTCAAGTAACTTAAGAAAAGTATTTAATTAAATGTCTTAACATTATTGCCTCTGTCACTTCAATTAGTCTGAACCTGTGGTGCCTGTTACAATATGCAGAGCGTCAGTGTCTCTGAGCCAAGTCTGGAGCGGCTTTGTGATATTTTAAAATAATGAATCACAGCTCAAGCGCCCTCTGCTGGTCACATATAGTTTGATGAACACGTTTTTTATGTTATAATTTGGTGTTTTGGTTCCAAGACGATTATCCAGTCAGAAAACAGAATGAGTCACAGATGAGTCTCTCGTTTGGGTTGGTACGACCTAAACAGACAAAAGCCAACACCCTTTTTTAAAACTCTTAGATCACATCCTAAAAGAGAAGTTCTCCCTGATGGGAGGCACCACCTTACAAAAACAGGAAAACAAATAGATTTGCTAATTCCTTTATTCCCTCTTCCATTCAGCTCAAAACACAGAGATTTTTAGAATTTGTTTAATTTGTGCTAATGTTCTGTTTTGGCCTTTGCACTTTGTGCCACATTTGCACCTTATGCCTCAGTTAAAGCTCAGCTCTGTTGATCATAACTGTACGAGCACTTGTGTGAAATGTGTGTGTTTTTTTTATGCTGTAGTTTGTGACTGCAAACACAACTGCCTTGGGGATAAATAAAGTTTTCTAAACTAAACAAAACTAGAGCAGCAGCTACATACAGTTCCTTTAAACCCTTTCCCCACACGTCTGCTCAGGTTAGTCCTGTGTTGAGTCTGGTGTTGAGTCTGGCGGTGAGTCTCGTTATGAGTCTGGTGTTCAGTCCGGTGTTCAGTCTGGTGTTCAGTCCGGTGTTGAGTCTGGTGTTGAGTCTGGTGTTGAGTCTGGTGTTGAGTCTGGTGTTGAGTCTGGTGTTGAGTCTGTCGTTGAGTCTGGTGTTGAGTCCTGGTGTTCAGTCTGGTGTTCAGTCTGGTGTTGAGTCTCATGTTCAGTCTGGTGTTGAGTCTCATGTTCAGTCTGGTGTTGAGTCTGTCGTTGAGTCTGGTGTTGAGTCTGGTGTTCAGTCTGTCGTTGAGTCTCATGTTCAGTCTGGTGTTGAGTCTGGTGTTCAGTCTGGTGTTCAGTCTTGGTTCAGTCTGAGTGTGTTGAGTCTCTGGTGTTCAGTCTGGTGTTGAGTCTCATGTTCAGTCTGGTGTTGAGTCTGGTGTTGAGTCTGGTGTTCAGTCTGGTGTTCAGTCTGTCGGTTGTGTTGAGTCTGGTGTTCAGTCTGTCGTTGAGTCTCATGTTCAGTCTGGTGTTGAGTCTGGTGTTCAGTCTGGTGTTCAGTCTGGTGTTGAGTCTGGTGTTGAGTCTGGTGTTGAGTCTGGTGTTCAGTCTGGTGTTGAGTCTGTCGTTGAGTCTGGTGTTGAGTCTCATGTTCAGTCTGGTGTTGAGTCTGGTGTTGAGTCTGGTGTTCAGTCTGGTGTTCAGTCTGGTGTTCAGTCCTGGTGTTCAGTCTGTCTGTGTTGAGTCTGCGCTGTTACCTGCTTGAGCTGCGTCTCGGAGTTGACGTGGACGTCGCAGATCTCGCAGTAGAAGGTTTTGTTCTGAAGTCCCGTGGAGGATCCGGGCACGGGGCTCAGTTTGCTCTTCACTCCGGCTCGAGGGAAGGACTTGATGGAGCCCAGGCCGCTGCGCGCCTCCAGCATCGTCTTGTGCTTCGTACCTGCGCCACACAAAACAAGAAACACTGTCAACAACACGGCGCTTCAGTTCAACCAGCCTGGTCGACAAACAGGGTTCCCACACAAGGCCTGAAATCATGTTCCAGGACTTTTCCAGGACAGTTTTAGTCATCAGAGAGTCCACTGGCCCACAGGTTGGAGGTGTGATTCCAGTTTCCATGTGCACTGGTGTATGAATGTGTGTGTGAATGTGTGACAAAGACGGCCTTTGTCCCCATTTTTTCACCTTAGTTCAGTTACATCTATATCAACTAAACAGCTAAATAATAACTATCCCGGGTTTGTTTTATTTAGTCTTTGTTTAATTGATCACATTCACACAGTTACTTTAAATTCATTTTATTTGGTTATATCCCTTCATTTTTGTTTAAACTTACCACCTTTACCTGTGACTCCACATGGTCTGGGAACAAAAGAGGGGGCGTGTCCTTTGGCAGCCATATTTATAGGCTCAGGGGGAGGTGTTGGCCCAGACCATGTGGAGGGAAGCCTCGGAAATGGTTCTTTGTTTTATCAAATGGGTTATTAGAATTTTGGTTTCAGTGTGTCTAGTTAAGTTGGACACTGTTCAGTTTAAAAGGGGGATTAGGCTTCAGAAAATAATTGAAGGCAGCACCAGTAAGGAAAGGAAATTGCTACAGTTTTCCCCGTAAGTTGGTGTGAACCCAGGGGGAGGGACTTCCTCTCTGGGGGGTATATAAGTAGAGGCAGTTTAATCAGTAGGAGGTCACCATCAGTGCAGCCAGGTGCCTGCGGGTATTTTCTTGTGTTGCGTTATTTTCTGTTGCTTTTGTTTAGTTAAGCACAGTTCTTTTTTGTAAATATGTGAATAATTTTGCCCACGACTTGGAAGGATCCAATAAAGAATTTGGTTTGGTGAAGGACAACTTTGCACTGGACTCTCATTTTGACCACTTGGGCCAGCTTCCCCACAGAATGTGTGTGTGGTTCCTTGATGTGGAGGACATGTGTGAACCCAAATCACTTCAACTTCTTTTAAACACGCAAAAAAAGGTACTTGGTCTAGAATTGCACTTGTAACAGAAACAGACCGGTCCCGCCGAGGTCCCGCCGAGGTCCCGCTGAGCCGCCAAGATGAAAGAAATCTGGAGAGAGTCTGGGATTCTCCTTCAGGTCAGAGGTCACAAGTCATAGGTCATTTCCTGCATTTTTGTGGATTTGAGTTAAAAAACAAACTAAAAACTGCTGCTTTTTATATTTTATTAATTATCTTTGTATTTTATTTTGACTTGAACATTTGCATTTATACTTATGTCTTTTTTGACACCTGTCTCTTGCTTTTTTTTTTTTTTTTTTTTTTTTTTTTTTTTTGCAACTTATTTAGAATTTATTATTACCATTTATATATTTTTTCTGTGATGTGTGACTCCTGTGTCCAAATAATTTCCCTTGTGGAGCAATAAATAATAAATAAATAATAATTTGTCTAAGTCTAACAGGTGGAAGTAAAAGTTTATTCATTTATCCAGTAAAACCAAACAATTCCTAATGTGAAACCAGTGTTGGGGAGTAACAGATTACATGTACCAGAGTTATGTAATCAGAGTACAAATGATGAGTAACTGTATTCAGTTACAGTTACTGTTTCAGTGAGTGGTAATTGGATTACAGTTACTTTGTTGAAATAAATGGATTACACAGCAGGATTTTATTGTTTTCACATTTGGGACTAAACCAGGACTAAACCAGGACTAAACCAGGACTAAACCAGGTCTAAACCAGGACTAAACCAGGTCTAAACCAGGACTAAACCAGGTCTAAACCAGGACTAAACCAGACTAAACCAGGTTAAACCAGGACTAAAACCAGGACTAAACCAGGTCTAAACCAGACTAAACAGGTAACAGGACTAAACCAGGAAACCACAGGACTAAACCAGGACTAAACCAGGACTAAACCAGGACTAAACCAGGACTAAACCAGGTCTAAACCAGGACTAAACCAGGTCTAAACCAGGACTAAACAGGACTAAACCAGGACTAAACCAGGACTAAACCAGGACTAAACCAGGTCTAAACCAGGACTAAACCAGGACTAAACCAGGACTAACCAGGACTAAACCAGGACTAAACCAGGTCTAAACCAGGACTAAACCAGGTCTAAACCAGGACTAAACCAGGTCTAAACCAGGACTAAACCAGGTCTAAACCAGGACTAAACCAGGTCTAAACCAGGTCTAAACCAGGACTAAACCAGGACTAAACTAGGACTAAACCAGGACTAAAACTGGATTAAAACAGAAATAAACCAGGACTAAACCAGGACTAAACCAGGACTAAACCAGGTCTAAACCAGGACTAAAACTGGATTAAAACAGAACTAAACCAGGACTAAACCAGGTCTAAACCAGGACTAAACGAGGTCTAAACCAGGAGTAAACCAGGTCTAAACCAGGTCTAAAACCGGATTAAAACAGGACTAAATCCTGCTGTGTGGACGTGTTTTTTCTTCTATCAATAATATTTTTTATTTGGTTCAGTAAAGTCTGGGCTTTTTATTTTCTTTTATCAGACAAAACATCTTATGTGAAGATTTCCTCGTCTTTGTTTCTCTACAGCAAATCAAGTAATCCAAAGTATTCAGATTACATTACTCACTTTAAGTAATTTAATGGATTACGTTACAAACTACATTTTGGGGTGTGTAATCTGTAATCTGTAGGGGATTACATTTTAAAAGTCACCTTCCCAACATTGTCTGAAACTCAGCTCCAAATTCGTCATTATAACTGCAGCATCGATGAGCTTCATTTGACTGGATCTGAACGCTGTGGGCGACGTCGCACTCACTTATCCATGTACAAAGAACTGGACTAATACAGTAAAACAAACTGTGGCCTTTTTAAAATCATTTTCCATGTGCTTTGTCTGGAAAACATAATTATTTTCCAGGATTTCCAGAATTTCCAGGACACATGGGACCCTGAGATAAACCTGCAGATTTTGTCTTCAACCCAAAGGCGTAATTCTTGGTTTGAATCATTTTGTGTGAATCATTTTGATGGAACATTTGGAGAAAATAATCAGAGAAACAGGAGAGTTTGTAAAACATTACTTTTTCTATTTTATTTATTTATTTATTTGTTGTTGTTGTTTTGAATCAATCCACCAAAAACTAAAATATTCCAGTTCCAATTTTAACCAAAAATCTCACAAAGCGTGCACCAATTATAGCTCACTGATTGCAACAATTTGCGTTTATTTTGGCTCGGAAAATGTTCACTTTCTCCACACTTTGTTCGTCTCTTGGCTTTTGGTGGTGGGATAAATGCCAGATGCTTTCTCCTGGCAACACTGGGTTTAAAGTTATTAAAAATAAAAAAAATGTAACACACACACACACACACACACACACACACACACACACACACACACACACACAACTTTTACAGAAGGCAAAGTGGGTGAAGTGTCTTGCCTAAAGGGCTGTTCACACCAAAACGTCAAAAAACGTTTTCAATATAAAACCAAAAATAAGAAAAAGAAAAAAACAACATTTTTTTTCACTATTTGTCTCCAAAACCAAAATGAAAAAACAGATAATGATTCGTTTTTTTCAGTTTTCGATTTTGTGTTTAAATGAAGAATGGAAAAAATAGATAACGTCCGTTTCCTGTTTACGTGACTTCTGTGACTGCGATGTCGGACTTTTGCACTGCATACGAACTGAACCAGGACTGATCCAGGTCCAGGACCAGACCGGGACCAGACCAGGACCAGAGTGAACTCTGACCTTTGACTCCGAGCCTCTGCAGGGTCCGAGCCTCAGCTTCGAGCTCCGGCTCTGCCATGGGCTCTGAGCCTCCGGTCTGGTCCCAGCCTAGTCTCGGTCTCAGTCCTGGTCGCAGTCCCGGTCTGATCCCAGTCTCAGTCCCGGTCTGGTCCCGGTCTGGTCTCGGTCTCAGTTTCGGTCTGGTCCCGGTCTGAGTCCTGGTCTGGCTCCGGTCTGGTCCCGGACCTGGATCAGTCCTGGTTCAGTCCGTATGCAGCGCAAAAGTTCGACATCGCAGTCACGGACGTCACGTAAACAGGAAACCGTTTTTTCCATTTTTCATTTAAACACAAAATCGAAAACCAAAAAAAAAAACGAATCATTATCTGTTTTTTCATTTTGGTTTTGGAGACAAATAATGAAGAAAACTGTTATTTTTTCAGTTTCTCATTTTTGGTTTTATATTGAAAAACGAATGAATGAATGACACATGGATTTAGAGACGACCAATCACAGCCCGGTTCGACGTGTAGTTACAAAATTTCGGAGGTGAACGTCGGTCAACACAGACACTCTGCAGAGGGGGTTCAAGGTGACGCAGACTCTCAATTTGATGCACGACCATAAATTTGGCTTTAGTCACTCCCCCTTCAGAGCATCACAACACAATCAGCTAATCCGCTAAAGAAACTACTGATTTGTTAGGTTGTTGTGTACAATTTTGTATAATGTTTTTATTTTGACAGAGAATTGTCTTCTTGGCTGACCGTGAAAAGAGTTTGAATATGGCCCTGGAGAGATCACTAGATTACTCAAACATACATGAATGACTCTAAAACCTCTGCAGACGTGTTTTTGATGAGTGAACAAAGTTATAACATGGTAAAAAGCTCCAAAAAGTTGTTTAATACGACATTACAGAGAGAAAATAGACCTGGATTAAACACTGTGATTGAGGACAACAAAAATACTGATTTAGCATGAAGTTTTTGGTGTTTTTTTTTGTAAGAATGGAGTTTCTGTGGAGCCCTGGAGCAGCAGAGTTCCACCTGGCCTGACCCCATGACAGAGCGAGTCCTAAACGGCCGTAAACATCCTCATAAAGATCAGAGCGGAGCCTGGAGCCTGAGGTCGGACTGGGAAACACTCCGGAGCTCAAACCCCATCAAACCTCTGACAGGGCTGAGGAGGAGGAGGAGGAGGCACGCGGCGAAATGAACTCCTGTGAGCTTTAAGCTGTGTTCGAATCCTGTTACCTCCTCAAAAACAGACCTGGGGGTGAGTTTCTTTAAATCACACACGTTTGAGTAAGTCTGGATTATTAGTCTGTCTGTCTCCAAAGGTTAAAACGCTGTGTTCCTTCCTTGTGATGATCTGCAGATCTGACCTGTAGCGCCACCTGCTGAGCTTAATGCCACACTGAGGAACATTCCAGGCGAAGCAACAACCTCTTCACGGAGACGAGAAGAGTTACACAGTGCACCTTTAAAGAGTAAAAGTAAAAATAGCTCAATGATGTTCTGTCTTTCTGTATTTTCAGTGTGGTTTGAGTCTTACAGAGCAGGATGTCACTGTATGAGTAGTTCCCATGGCGACGCAGGTGAAACGTTTATTTTCGCGCGGCGCGTACAGGGAACAGAAGTCGACTTTACCCAGTGTTCCACAAAGACACACTGTTCCGTCCTTTTCACGGCCGAGTCCTTTGTGTGGGAAGTGAATGCTCTTAACCGACTATTCAACCATTCAGGTTTTGTAAAGAGCCTCTGGAACCTCTCCTGGGTCTGACCTTTTACAGTTGTGATTTGGAAGAGCGCATTCTCTACTTCTGACCCAGTTTCCAAACAGTGAACCAATGAGCTTCTCGGGTTTGTCACAGTCACTCAAAACGGAAAAGCTTCTAACATTATTAAAGTGTTGTTTGTTTCTTCCCCTTTAAACCACAGACTGTTGGGGTGTAAAGGTTCATGTGTTCGTGCTGAACGTGTCGTTACGGGACGTTTAGTTCGGTGCAGGGTTGTGCAAGAGTGAGTTCGCGCCTTGACTACGTCCTTATAAACCACGTGAATCCTCGCAAAAATACAGTTGTCGCGCCACGGTCCTCACTTTCGCCAGCATGAAGCCCTCCAACACCAGTGACCTCTGACCCTAGTGAAAGTGTATTTTCAGTCACTGGGGCACTGTACCTGCAGCAAATAAGATAAGATAAGATAATCCTTTATTGTCTCCCATGGGAGAAATTTGCCTTGGGACAGGGGGTAACATGTTTTATCAAAAAACAGGACAACACAACACAAAGAAGCACATAAACAAACACCATAAAACAAAGTAAATATGAGACCAGTATGACCACGAGTGATGCACCAACAGGACCCTTAAATCATCCTTAACAGGCAAAACTAAGCCTTGCATTCTTCTGTTCTATTAATTATTGCACATTCCCTAAGCCTATGTGTAGTTTTAGTTATAATTATTGCACATTCCCTAAGCCTATGTGTAGTTTTAGTTATAATTATTGCACATTCCCTTAGCCTATGTGCAGATTTAATTATTGCACATTCCTTAAGCCTATGTGTAGTTTTAATTCTGCACTTACTGCAAACAATGTGGACAAGTTGTTTTTTCTGGCCAAAAATCTGAAGAGTGAGTAAAAGTTCATGCTGGAACTGTTAGTACTGCACTTTACTTTTTGAAAAGTTTTGGGAGGGGCCACGCACAGAGGCGCTGGAGACGCTGCTGTGCTCAGCGACGCAGAAAATTAACAAGATTTTAATAGAAATTATTATTAAAATATTTTAGTAGAAAATCAGCCGAGGGCCAGATTAAAGGTCTTGGCGGGCCGGATCCAGCCCCCGGGCCGTATGTTTGACACCCCTGGTCTAGACAATCTCTACGGAGAAAGAAGCAGGTGGGGAACCTTAAGGAGAACAGTTACCCTTTACCAAAAAAACATAGTGATCTTAATATTAGTCCTCACCGCGCAGTTTACTTTTTACATTTCTTTCACAGAATCAGTAAATAATCACTGTTTAAAGGTTGTATGGAGGATTTTTTTTTTTGTTTCAAATTGTCAATGAAAGTTTAAAATACCATTACAGAGAAGCAGCAGCCTTGTAATTATGATGACCAAAAAAAAAAAGAACGAAAATCTATCAACTGTGGATGTAGTGAGGCCAGAGAAACATCAGCCAATAGAAAACGAGGCTCCCTCTTTATCTATTGGCTGTTAGGTTGTCAATCAAACTCCCTATGTTTCTAGTGTAACTGACTCACCGGCGCGGGGATTATGTGGTTTATGCAATGGTTCTTAGAGACTTTTTTAAACTGTAGCTTCGTCGTAGTTCGCACAAAGTTTGTTGCGATGGCGGACGAGAATCCACGACCAGTTCGCCGCAAAAGAAAGTCCGTTTTTGAGGTCGCTGAAAGAAGAAGAGAAGGGGAAAAGGAGCAAAGCCAAACTGAGGTGATTCTTTGAGATTTCTTCCAGCGATGGCGCGACTGAAGCAGACGAAGGGTCTAAAAACTGACCTGTCGGTCGCTAAATTATTTCTAGACAGGTCACTTCAACAGTAATTCTGAACACACACTGGCTGTAAACAAGCTTTCTAGAGTAAAGCAGTGGAAGGAGGTGTTTCTACTGAGGGAGCTGTGGAGGAAGAAGGTGGTGTCACACATGCACAACATTTGAAAAAGGAATGTCGCTGTATTTCTTTTCCCTTTAAAAAAAATCCTCTATACAACCTTTAATATTAGTCCTCACCGCGCAGTTTACTTTTTACATTTCTTTCACAGAATCAGTAAATAATCACTGTTTAATATAGTAAAACTGTTTATAATTTATAGGTGTTTTTGAATTTAAGGATCACTTTTAAAGCTCGTTTAGGTCTTGCACCAAGTTACATTTCAGAACTTTTAACCTCGTTCGAGCCTCCAGCAGCTTTAAATCCTCAGGTCCCTGTGACTGTTCCAGAGTCCAGGCTGCGGATGAAGGTGATTGAGTCTTTTCAGTCCGGACGCCTCGGCTTTGAAACGACCTGCCTGAGGAGATAAGACTCGCACCATCGGCAGTGTCGTACCCGAATGTTCATGTTTTGGGGCGAACGTGAACTGAACTACTGCACTGTATTCCTGCCTGATGAACGAACTGTGAGGGTTCATTCTGGTGCCAGATTTGTTTAGTGTTTCAGATGTAAACCCGGCTCAACACACCATAAAGAGCCGCGATATTCAGAGGAAAAACATTCAATCTGGCAACAACATTAACCACCAGCGTCGCATCGCTGCATGCGTCACCGAAACAAGACAAAACAAAAAAGCAGCAGGAGGCGACTGTAGTAGGAGAAACGAGGACTCATCAGATGAACATTTAAAAGAGCTCAAAGGGAAAAAACTCACATTTATGAGCAAACTTTCCCTGCTGGATTTCAAATTTCAATAATCATTCGCAGCAACAAATTGAAAAAAAAAAACAACAACTATGAACTAGATCATTTTTTGGAACTATGAACAAACTCTTAACTATAAACAATTATAAACTATGAACAAACGAGTTCATTTTGAAATTTGTGAACTGAACTTTGAACTAGTTCATGAAGAAAATGAGTTTTCTCAACACAAACTTATTCTTTCTGTGTGCTATTTTTGTCTTGTTCTTTTTGACTCTGATGACGACTATTGATTAGATAATATAGATTTAATACAAATAAAAAGAACAACGCAAAAAAAACAAATACAAACGCCACAACACAAACGCAAAAAGCCACAACACAATAAAAAAAGCCACAACAAACCAAAAAAAGCCACAACACATTAAAAAAGCCACAACAGAAGTGACCGCGGGACTCTATTTTCCGACGGACCGATCAAGCGGCAAGTGAAGAAGAAGAACTACAACGTGAAAAGTAAAGGAACGGAGAAGTTGGAAACGTAAGTAAAAGTAATTTATTGTTTTATCATTATTCGTTTCACGTTGTAGTTCTTCTTCTTCAGTTGCCGCTTGATCGGTCCGTCGGAAAATAGAGTCCCGCGGTCACTTCCGTTGTGGCTTTTTAACGTGTTGTGGCTTTTTAACGTGTTGCGGCGTTTGCGTTTGTGTTGTGGCGTTTGTATTTGTTGCGGCGTTTGCATTTAAATGTTTGATGGCGTTGTGGTCTTGTGGCGTTTGTATTTGTTGCGGCGTTTGCATTAAAATAAGTCAGTTTGGCTTTGATTTTGTTGTGTTGTGGCTTTTTACTTGTGGCTTAATGTGTTGTGGCTTTTTACGTGTTGTTTTTTGTGTTGTTTTAACGTGTTGTTTTAACGTGTTGTGGCTTTTTAACGTGTTGCGGCGTTTGCGTTGTTGTGGCGTTTGTATTTGTTGCGGCGTTTGCATTAAAATAGAGTCCCGCGTCATTTCCGTTGTGGCTTTTTTTTGGTTTGTTGTGGCTTTTTACTGTGTTGTGGCTTTTTAACATGTTGTGGCTTTTTAACGTGTTGCTGCATTTGCGTTTGTGTTGCGGCGTTTGCATTAAAATAGAGTCCCGCGGTCATTTCCGTTGCGGCTTTTTTTTGGTTTGTTGTGGCTTTTTGTTGTGTTGTCGCATTTGTATTCGTTGCGGCGTTTGCGTTCGTTGTGACCCCTCTCGGCTTCCGTAAGAAGCGGGTGGCGGACCATCTATCAGGAGTTACCCTTGACCGTGACCTTATTCCTAGTCCTCACTCTTAGTTCTTCTTCTTCTTCGTTTGTTTCTCAGTCAGAGTAAACCCCGAGAGCCTCACCGCTGTTGTGCGCGTCGAGTTGGGAGGCGGAGTTGACGGCCACTTTGCAGAGGGAGCAGTAGAGCAGCCGCCGCGCCTTCTCCTCCTCCGTCTCCTTGTCCTCCGGCCCGAGCTCGGCCTCGGCTCCCGGCTCCTGCTCCGGCTCCGAGGCGGCGTCCGTCAGGAGGAGGGGCGGCTCCGGGTCGGGTCGGCACACGGGCCCCGGGGCCAGCGCTGCGGGGGCCAACACGGAGAGGCCCGGCGCCGGAGAAACGTCTGGAGAGAAAAGAGAACAGCTGATCAGTTATGGTGAAAATGACCACGATTACTTGACTCATAATTGAAATTACAATTATTTTAAAAATGATAAACCTGTTGAGAAAGTATAAACCTAATTAGGGCTGAGCAAAAAATCTAAAAAAATCTAAACTTTTGTAGCTCTCGATGATAAGACAAGAGCATTTTTGACAAGTTTCTGTGTCAGTAAGAAGCCGGACTTTTGACTCCACACGCTTTTAGGCTTAATATATTGTACTTTTTAATCCAATCCACTTTATTTCTGTCGCACATTTCACAAACAAACAGTTTCCAAAAAGTTTCCAAAGTGCTGCACAAATACATAATAATAACAACAGTATTAAAATGATCAAATAAACTACTAAAATAATACTAGTCTTAAAACAATAAAACCAGACAAATTTAATAAAACCAGTAAAATAAAATAAAAACAAAATCATAGAATAGAAATAAATAAACCAATAAATAAATTAAATCAATAAAACCAATAAAAACAAATCAAAAACACAGAGGAGCACACAACTCACGCGGTGTTAAAAGCCAGAGAATAAAAGTGGGTCTTAAGACGAGACTTAAAACTCTCCACGATAAATTGAATGTGGATTATCGGCTCTGTTCACGTTTACGTCACAAACCGGGAAGACGGTTGGAAACACGCGATGACAACGTCCGGTGTAGTTCCCGACGCTGGGCTCACCGACCGACCGTGACCAAACCCACTGAAGGAAACGTGATCGGCGGTAAAATGAAGACTGTTTGGAATCATCTGGAATTTGGCGCCTCGTCTCTTCTAATCGCATGAACCCAGAACACTACAGTGACATGGAGATGTAGAAAACTGGAACATTTTCTCATTTTTCCTACATTTTCAGACTTACTACCATGAACATCACATGTTTCCAAACGTCTTCCTGATCTGTGATGTACGACGGAGAATAAGGGTCAGATAAAAAAAAAAAAAAACTTGCTGGCGCTACGAGAATAAAGTCGTAACATTTTGACATTAAAGTCGTAATATTATGAGAATAAAGTTGTAATTTTACGAGAATAAAGTCATAAATTTACAAGAATAAAGTCGTACTTTTATGAGAATAAAGTCGTAGTCAAAATAAAGTCATAATATTATGAGAATATCAGCTGCTCGGAAAGTCTGAACCGAGTGGAGAATGGAGAATTTGGAGCATTTTCTAAAGGAGAAAAATCTGTGTATCAATCGTTCATTCGACTGAATCAGGACTAAATCAAGTCTGGAACCAAACCAGAAAGACCAGGATTGAGACCGGAACCAGACCAGGACTGAAAACGGTTTAATCCTAGTTTAGTCCTGGTTTAAGTCACGGAAATGGGAAATAGCGTTTACGTGACTTTAAAATTTGAACCAGGACTGAACCAGGACTGATAACCAGGACTGATGAACCAGGACTGAACCAGGACTGAACCAGGACTGAACCAGGACGGACTGAACCAGGACTGAACCAGGACTGAACCAGGACTGAACCAGGACTAAACCAGGACTGAACCAGGACTAAACCAGGACTGAACCAGGACTAAACCAGGACTGAACAGGACTAAACCAGGACTGAACCAGGACTAAACCGTTTTCAGTTCTTGTCTGATCCCTGGTCTCAGTCTTGGTCCCTGACTCAGTCCTTGTCTAAGTTCTGGTCTCAGTCCCGGTCTGGTCTCGGACCTCGTTTAGTCCTGGTTTAGTCCTGGTTCAGTCCTGGTTCAGTCCGGAGGCGCAAATAATGAAGAAAATTGTTGTTTGTTTTCTTATTTTTAGTTTTATATTGAAAAACAAGGTTCTTCTTCTGCCGCATTTTTCACTTTGACTTTGATTTTATTACGATTCTCATTATAACTTTATTCTCATAATATTACGACTTTATTTTAACTTCGACTTTATTCTCGTAAAATTACGACTTTTTCTGGCTTCGACTTTATTCTCATAATATTACGACTTTAATGTCGAAATGTTACGACTTTATTCTCGTAGCACCAGCATTTTTTTTTTTTATCTGACCTTTATACTCCGTCGTAGTGATGTAAGCGTGAATAGAAAAAAAACAACAACTACAGTGATCCTGACACCCGGCTCTTTATTTCTATCTCTGCTTTCAATAAGACAGACGAAAATGGTAAAACCGACATGTCAAACTCAGGCCTGAGGGTCAAATTTGGCCCGCGATGTAATTATATTTGGCCTGTGAGATCATATGAAATCTGTATTAGAGCTGCCGCCGCACACAGAGACTATAGAGACATTATTTATTTAAAATATTGTTATTATTTTATATTCTGTTTGTTCTGGATTCAATGTTTAAGCAAAACTATGATTAAACATTTATTTTAATAAGAAAAGGTTTAACATTACAGATCTCGAAAGAAGAGAAAACATGCAGATGTTGTTCAAATTCTGCAATAAATATTTAAATTGGCCCACGACTTCCTAGTTTTTGATTTTGGCCTCTGTGAATTTGAGTTTGACACTGCTGTGGTAAATGGTCACATCAGCGCTTTTCCACCTTCAAGGCACTCAAAGCGTCTTACACCAGTGGACGCAGACACTTTGAGCGAGGTGGGTTAAGTGTCTTGCCCGAGGACACAATGACAGCTGGAACGGCACTGCCAAACTGTGGAACATTCAATCTAATCGCTCAACCAAAGATGTTTACGTCCAGAGCGGGATTCAAACCGCAAACACTCTCCCAACTCGGGGTGTGCAAAAATATCAAAATATCAATATATCGTATCGTTTAATGTGAAGATACAGTATTGATATTGTGTCCTGCTGTATCAATATATCGGCAAGAGTATTTATTGGTGTATTTTACTAAATTATTTTGTTACAGGTACAGTTTTGTTGTTTGTTTAGAGGAAGGAATTTTTTTTTAAATGCGACACATTTGACATTTTCACTGTTTTGACGATTAAAACGTTTGTGTTTCATTTTCACTTTGCACAAGAAGAAGTGGTTTAAAGGTTGTATGGAGGATTTTTTTTTTGTTTCAAATTGTCAATGAAAGTTTAAAATACCATTACAGAGATGCAGCAGCCTTGTAATTATGATGACAAAAAAAAAAAAAAAAGAATAAAAATCTATCAACTGTGGACGTAGTGAAGCCAGATAAACATCAGCCAATAGATAAAAAGGCTCCCTCATTTTCTATTGGCTCTTAGGTTGTCAATCTAACTCAATACGTTTCTAGGGTAACTATGCAGCGGTTCTTAGAGGCTTTTTCTAATTGTAGCTTCCTTGCAGTTCGCACAAAGTTTGTTGCGATGTCAGATGAGACTCCACGACCAGTTCACCGCAAAAGAAAGTCAGTTTTTGAGGTCGCTGAAAGAAGAAGAGAAGGGGAAAAGGAGCAAGGACAAACTGAGGTGATTCTTGGAGATTCCTTTCAGAGATTGCGCGAATGAAGCAGACGAAGGGTCTAAAAACTGAGGTGTCGGTCTCTAAATTATTTGTAGAGGGACCTGTGGAGGAGGAAGGTGGTGTCATGCATGCATTCCCTTAAAAATCCTCTATACAACCTTTAACAAAGACTTTTAGTATCACAGCCACGATTTTACCATTATTTTTTATTGAACCGCATTGAATCGATTTGAAATATATCGTGTCAAATCGAACGTGCACATCGGTTTGTATCGTATCGGCAACTTCCAGCTCTACAACCAACTGAGTTACTGTCGCCCCAAAAGAGACGTAACAAAAACAAATCAAAATTAAGATGGAGGAAAAAGCTGTAATTCTTTGATTTTTTTTTTTTTCTCTCCTATCGCCCGGCCCAAACCTAACTCATTATTGTTTTGTTATCGTCTTTTGTGGCTTTGCTCAGGTTGTGGCACAGACCCGGAGCACAAATTCTGAACAGACGGTAGTTGTATTTTTGATTGCGACACTTTTATGATTGATGGGAAACGATGGAAACGCCAATTAGAAGTGCCCGGCCCCGGACATAAGGACATCAGTTACGCAATTACACACTTTTATATTCACTTTGGTGCTTTTGAGATTTGATTTCCAGAGGGTACTTCGTGACGAAACTCGATAAAATAAACGGCCTCTCAGTACAAGAGCAGGTTGTTGGATAAAATTGTGCATGTTTTTCTTTCAGTTTGAAGTTTGGGTTTTAAAAAGGTGCACTGTGTAACATTTTTTGTGGAGAGGATCTTCTTCATCTTCATCTCGTCTCCTTGGAGATTTTAATGCTTTGTCTACGGTCCGGCCTTAAATTTTTATCGCTCAGTAACACCTTGAAAAATACACTTAAACTTAAAGGTGCATTGTGCAATTTGACGGGCTGATGCTGTTGCTTTGTCTGGAATGTTCCGCAGTACGGCTTTAAACCTTTCTATCTTCATGGAGACCAAACTGGAGCAAGTTACAGGTCAGATCTGTGGAGAGGCGACCCCACTCGCAGTCAGAATGTTTGTTTTTTGAGGTATTTTTGAGCTATAAAACCACCTGTGATTGAATAAATGTAAAGTAGAGCTGTTTTAAAGTCACACTGTGGGACTTTCCAGGCAGAGCAGTGACGTATCCATAGAAACAAGCACAGTACGGACTCCCAACCGAAAAGTTACACAGTGCATCTCTCCACACCTTTTGTATAGAGCTTTTTTTGGACACTTAAAGATGCTACAAACAAATAAGAAGAAGAAAGTAGAAAGTAGTAAGAAGTCGAAAAGGAGGAAATGCCGGGTTTGAACAGGTGAGTTTTTAGAAGTGATTTGAATTTTTGCAGTGAGTCCGAGTTGCAAATGAACAAATGGGATGAACAAATGTACAAACGGCCGCAACAAATACAAACGCCGCAACAAATACAAACGCAACAAATTAACAAATACAAACGCCGCAACAAATCGCAACAAATACAAACGCAACAAATACAAAACAAATACAAACGCCGCAACAAATACAAACAACAAATGCAACAAATGCAACAAATACAAACGCCGCAAAACAAATACAA